TTTTGCTAATGATTGTTGTGGCTGTGCCTTGTTTTCAATGTTAGGGTGACACTTGCTAACTGAATAAGAGTTGACCATTTCCTTCTGAGATCACACACTGGTACATTGTACCTGCTACATCCCTCCCTGTCTGTTGGTGGTTTGTCATAGACCCTACTGGTCGACCACTGGTTATGTCCAGCTAAAGTTCTGGAAGGTTTATTAGGATGAAGAAATGCAGACACTGCTCAGATTTTTCAAGGAATATGCAACTAAGTGGAGTAAACAAAATTTGGCTTTCTCTCTTAACAAGAAGGATACAGAGTCTTTTGTCATATGAAGCTTCCAGAGCTGGGAGGATGCATCCATCACAGACTCCTTCAGTGTTACTGAAGAGATATTAGCTTCCAAAGCTGGTGAAGTAAACTGAAGTATAACAACTACCCAGAGTCTACAGCCCAGTGGGAGACACTTAACAGTGACACTTAGCATTTACTGTATTAGTTAACATTTAGCAGATCTTTGTTAAAGTTGTAGCAGATTTTTCTTAAAGCAGTCTCTGGATACAAAAGTTTTAATATCATCCTCTTACTTCAAGCATGTGATTTTCCAAATTTCTCCTTTTGTCTCTTATAAACAGGGAGAAGAGGAAACTTTCCACTTATTCACCATCATTCATTCCAACTGCTAAAGAGATCCAGGCTCCTAACAGCTAATAAATGAAACTGAGAGGTTTGAGAAGACAATAAATAAGTGTACAGGACGCTGAGGCAGGTATTTCTGATTCCTGGCAACTGCAATCAGTGAATAGACAACCAAAGCAGGCCTCCTCAGTTAATAGCTTGGGCAGTATCTGGTGTAGTCATTTAAGAGCATTGCACTACGTCTCTGCCCCAAACATTTCCTCCTCTTTTGCTTTGCTGAGGTGACAAAACAACTCTGCTTTAATCAAGGTTTTGGGTTTGGATTAAAGGCTTTTATAGAATAAAAATATAAAATAATATAAAATAAAAATATTATATAACCCTGTAGTTATGCTGTGTAGTTATGCTGTATAAGTTCCTTAAGCTCTTTATCAGAGAAACCCAGCTTTACACAATGGTGATGAAAACATACTTGGAGCCCAGGGAAGGATGTGTAATCTCTCTTTATTGTTTCTATGGGTCACCGCTCAGTTGGTAGAGAGAGAGCATTTCATGGGTCTCTGATAGTCTTATTGACCTGATTTTCTTTTATTTTTTTCTTTTCTACCCATTTCCTCTCTTTCTCTCCATGGTACTGGGTCCTCTCCATTCATTCTTTGTATCAAAGGTCAAGGAGACACAACAAATCTTTGACTGGGAATTCTAGACCAGTGCTGTCCATTAGAGTAGCCACTAGACACACATGGCTATTGAACATGTAAAATGTGACTAGTGTGACTGCATTTTAAATTCAGTTTAATTTTAATTAATTTAGATTCAAAAATTGAGGCTATTAAACACCATTAAACACAACTTTATTATTTTGGTAGAACTACATTTCACTCTAGCCTTTGAAAATTTACCATGAGTTGAGATGTGCTAAGAATGTCAAATACACACTGGAGTTCAAAGACTTAGTATGAAAAATAATATAAAATGTCTCGTTAATAATTTTTATATTGGCCAGGTGTGGTTACCTCATTCCTATAATCCCAACAGTTTGGGAGGTCAAGGTGGGAGGATCACTTGAGGCCAGGATTTAAGACCAGCCTGAGCAACAAAGCAAGATCTCCATCTCTACCAAAAATAGTAATAATGAAATTTATTATTATAGATAATAACATTTATTATTATATTACTATTTTGAAATAAAAATTTTTGGATAATTAAATGATATATTATTAAAACTATAAAAATAATGTCACCTATTTCCTTTTATTATTTAATATGGCTATAAGAAAATATAAAATTATATTGGTGGTTCTCATAATTCTAATATATTCAGTGCCAAGAGGCTCCCCTCCTTCCACAGTGAGAAAAACAAGGGATGGGGAACAAGCCTCATTCTGAAGCCATCATCAGTTCCAATATCCAGCATCACTGAGAACACCAGATTAAGCTGCCTTCAGCAGGGTGGGGAACAAAGACTTTGGGCCAAGGGACTTTTGATGGTTGGGTTAGGAGAGAAAGAAGAGGAAGGTATAGACAGGCAGGAGAATACTCCAAGACCTGGAGTACTTTCAGGATAGTTAGTTGGGTGCTGATTTAAGAGAGAGGGCCTTAGGCATGAATATCTTGGGTTCCTGGGAGAAATGCATGTATTGTAAATGAGAAAGAGGCAACTGAGCAGAAGATGGAAAAAATCCTAAAAAGAAGCTTTAGGATAGATTGTAGGCAAGAATTCTTATGGAGGTATCAGTTTAAAATACATGACATTGTGATACCCCTTCTAATGTCAGATATCTTCTTCCAGATTCTATTCCTGGTCTTCTGTGGAGCAGGCTTGAAGGTTCTTCCATTGATGCCTCAACTGTGTGCCAATGACCCTATTTCCTTTATGCCTATTGTAATGTCCTTTTGAAGAGACAGTTGAGTAAGTGGAGAACAAACAGTTTCCCTACAGTGTTCTAAAGTCCAAAAATGTAGAATTTCAGTGATCATTTATATCGTTTAAACCCACTGATACAGTTTTAGACCTTTATTGCATCCAATGTCCTGATTTTAAAGGGGTGGGGAAAGAGAGAGAGAGAGAGAGAGAGAAAGAGAGAGAGAGAGAGAGAGAGATGGAGAGATTATGTGCCTTGCCCAGGATCAGTCACTACTCAGGATCGGCTGAAGCCCCTAGAAACAGAACTCGACAGGGACTCAGAATAGGCTCCTGAATCCTAGTTGACGTCTATTACTAACATATCACTTATACCAGTTTTATTTATTTTGATTATTTTTTAATTTTTATTTTTTGTGGGTACACAGTAGGTATATATATTTATGGGGTACATGAGATGTTTTCATACAGGCATACAATGTATAACAATCACATCGGGTAAATGGGGTATCTATTACCTCAAGCATTTATCTTTTCTGTCACAAACAATCCATTTATAATCTTAATTATTATTAAATGTACAAAAAGTTATTATCAACTGTACTCACCCTGTTGTGCTGTCAAATACTTGATCTTATTCATTCTTGTACTTTTTTTTTTAAGACAGGGTCTCACTCTATTGCCCAGACTGGAGGGTAGTGGCACAATCATGGCTCACTGCAGCCTCAACCTCCTGGCCTTAATCAATCCTCCCACCTCAGCCTCCCGAGTAGCTGGGACCACAGGTATGCACAAGTATGCAAAAAAAAAAAAAAAAAAAATGTGTGTGTGTGTGTATGACCTAAGCTGGTCTCAAACTCCTGAGCTCAAGCAATCCTCCCACTTTGGCTTCCCAAAGTGCAGAGATTACAGGTTTGTGCCACCATGCCTGGCCCAGATCTTATTCATTCTATCTAACTAGATTTTTGTACCCATTAACCATCTCCACTTCTCTTGAAACTACCCTTTCCAGCCTCTGATATCCATCATTTTACTCTATATCTTCATGAGTCCACTGTTTTAATTTTTAGCTCCTACAAATAAGTGAGAACATTCTAAGTCTGTCTTTCTGTCCTGACATATTTCATTGAACATAATGACCTCTAGTTCCACCCATGTTGTTGCAAATGACAGGATCTCATTCTTCTTTATGGCCGAATAGTACTCCATTGTGTATATGCACCACATTTTCTTTATTCGTTCATCTATTGAAGGACACTTAGATTTCTTCTAAATCTTGGCCATTGTGAATAGTGCTGCAATAAACATGGGAGTGCAGATATCTCTTAGATATACTGATTTCCTTTATTTTGGGTATGTACCCAGCAGTGGGATTGCTGGATCATATGATCATTCTATTTTTTGTTTTTTGAGGAACCTCCAAACCGTTCTCCATAGTGGTTATACTAATTTACATTCCCACCAACAGTGTACCAGAGTTCCCTCTTCTCCACGTCTTTGCAAGCATTCACTGCTGCCTGTTTTGCATGAAAGTCACTTTTAACTAAGGTGAGATAATATCTCATTATAGTTTTGATTTGCATTTCTCTGATGACCAATGATGTGGAGCACCTTTTCATATATCTGTTTGCCATTTGTATGTCTTCTTTTGAGAAATGTCTATTCAGATCTTTTGCCCATTTTTAATTGGATTATTAATTTTTTCCTATGGAGTTGTTTGAACTTCTTATATATTCTGGTTATTAATAACACAAGGGTGTCAGATAGGTAGTTTACAAATATTTTCTCCAATTCTGTAGGATAGTATCACACCAATAATAACTTGTACTTGTGAGTTATCTGCAGAGCCCAGTAGATTCTGGGCTGCCTTGTAGGCTGCCCTTGTGTACCAATGGTCTGGTGAAGATTACTGTGTATTTAATTCAGTACATATGAATTTTAAATGTGTTCTGGTCACAGAGAAAACATTCTGTGGAAGTTTTTTAGGGGATTAAAATGATAGTAGAAATTCTAAATTAATAAGCTTTGGGGTAAGAAAGTATTTTCAAAGAATATTATTTATCCTTTATTTAAGAGGTTTCCTGGCCTGACTATCAAGCAATATTTTATGAGAAAAGGAAGGAATTTGTTTAATATCAGCTATATTAAAACTAAATAAAATAAATTAAAATTAAATGTTATTTAAAATGTTTCAAAATTATCATTGAATAAATAGCTTGACTTGGTGATTACAAATCAAGGGTAGCATCAGGAGGCTAAAGCTATAAGCCAAGCTAATACATGAGAAAATCACATTATATGAAATTTTGTGGACATGAGATTGAAAATATGTGATCTATAAGCAAAAGGAAAAAAAAAAACTTTAAATTTTTGTGCCCTGCATTTCAAATTTCTGGGTGATTTATAAGCCTTTCAAAGTTTATGCTATTAAGCAATTCAAAATTTCTATGTCTATACATGTTTAGCTAATATTAACTCAACTAGCCATCCTGTGGCATTTTCCGTGCTATTCTTCATTTCTTCCGTCTATATTTTTTCTCGTCTCGCTTTTTTAGAAATGTTATTCCTATTTCTGTCACACTGTCACCTTTTAGTCTGTCTTGCAAGAATGTAACATCAGCAGCCAAATGAACCTAGGAAAGAAGAAAAATACAGGTCTGTGTCATTTAATTAAAAAACAAAAAACTAAATTTTTCTCAGTCTTTTGTCAGCTTTCTTTACGTTCCTTAAGAAATGATTTTTTAAAAAGCTTGTTCGTGGATAAAGGGCCCTTTACTGAGTGTCCTCCAGAGATGGTACAGCTGTGTGTCAGCTCTGTGGTGTGACTCTGCAAAGAGAAGGGTGGTCCAGGCCAACTAGGATGACTGGGACACCCAGACTCTGCCAAGCTTAGCTCACTGTGCAAGGCTGAATTATGGATCCATCTTTAGAAGAACACAAATTCCCTGCTCAAAGATAGCCTTGACCCAGTGTGCTTAGTCAGCAGAATTTCCAAGAATGAATGGATTCCTAAATGATTGCTCTCAAACAGATTTGCCATAAATCATTCTGTCATTAGCTAGATAACATAATCACTTATCCTAACAACATTTAGCAGTCAGTTATGGTTTGAAGACTTTGAGAATAATATCAATTAAATGAATTATAGATATAAAATTGAAGACTGAAATTACAGACATGAATATTTGATACTCAGGCCTTCTTTTTCTCTGTAAGGTATTTCCCATTTCCCAGGCACTGAAGTAAGCAGGGCTTACTTCTTTATTCATTAACATGTGTCCACATAAGAGCAGCATGATATTGCTGACCTACCCCTAATAGTGTATTTATTCAGAGTTATTTTGCTTTATTGGGAAAAATAAGATAAATAAGTAAAAGCACCAAGTAAAAGCAAATAATATGTGAAAAATGCCCACGTGTAGCAGGAAATTAATTGATATTTATTGAATCTTACCTGACTCACTCCCCTCTCTCACTAAGAATTCCTTAGCTAGTCAGCCTCAATTTGTTAAACCCTTAGTGTACCAAATTATCTGACTCATACTGGGCCAGGCCTTGCAATGCCTACCATTTAACAGAAGGACGTAGACTGCACTTGGAAATACAGAAGCAAAATTCATCCTCAACTTTTTCTTCCATAAGATTTTTTAAGTCTTTGTCAAAATTTAACCGAAAATAAATTAAATTAACAGGGAGACAATGTTGAAGCTATTTGGATATTTGGGGACACATGAGGTCTGATGCCAGCTGTCATTCAGCGAATATAATCAACTGTTATCTATGAAAGTAGAAGACATTCTTTTCCTATTTTTGACTTGGTTTTATGGTTTCTCCCTTTGCCCATAAACGCTCAGAATGCTTTCCCACCCCTTCCTTGATCTCATGGCCACCGACTATAGGACAAGTCTAAAAAGATGCTAGGGGGGAAGCATGGAGAATCTGTGTGAACAATACATTGTTTCTATTGTTTTATGCTTTTGGATTACTTGTTATTCTGTTTTCCCCTAATTATCACAAATAATTTAAAATTACATGCATGCCTCATTATTAGGTAGCTCAACATATGGCAAGACTTTGGTTGCTATCTGGTCCCACCATTCTTAATAGCTAAGCTTCTGGGAAAATGAGACTTTGATGACTGTCATCTCTTCCTAAGCTGTTGTTGGCTCACCAATCTTTGACAAATTGTCTTCTTTCCCTCCACTTTCCCAAAGGAGCTTTTACCAAGGCCCTCGTGGGTCTTTTGGTTCCTAAATGTTGTGAATATTTTTCAGGTCTAGTTTAACTTACACTCTCTGCTGTACTTGTTCTTATTAATCACTCTGTCTTCTTGAAATGCTCTCCTCCCTTGTTTCTATGACTCCTTCTTTTCCTCCCTCTGATTTCTCTTTCTTGGTATCCTTTTTCAGCCTTTGTGCTATCTATTTAACCTACTTATTATATTTTATTGCTTCCTACGGTTCTGTTACTCCCTTTTCTTCTTGCTCTACAGACTCTGCCTAGGCATTCTTTTCCAATTCTAATGCTTCTTCAATCCATGTCTCTCTGTGAACTCCTGACAGGGATAAACAACTGTTTGCTGGATAGCCTCACTTGCGTGTGTTAAACACCTCAACTCCAGCAGGCTCAAAATTGAACTCCTCACTTTGTCTCTACCAAGCCCAGATGTACTCCTCTTGGTTTTGCTCCTCTTGGTTTAATAGCACAACCACCTCTACAGGTTGCTCAGAAACTTACAAATCATTCTTGAATCTTTTTCTCAATTTCATTCCTTTCAGCCAGTTCATAACCTAGCCTTATCTGTTCCATCTTTTTGATGTTGTTCAAATGGTCTTCCTCTCCCTATTCCTGCTGTCAAGGCTTTGTTCTGGTTTTACCTGAGTTTACCATCATAACTTCCAAAGTGCCCTCATCCTTTCCTTCAGCATTGTTCCCTCTGATATACTTTCCAAATTTGGTTGATAAAGAAATAAAATTCCTAAAACACAAGTTTCAAAATATTATTCCACTGTTTTTAAACCTATATTGATTTCTGTTGCTTCCAATGTAAAAATCTGAATTTCCAAGCTTGTCATATGAACTCCTTTTCTTAAAATCAGTCTTCTGTAAAGAATTTAAGCCTCCTTTCTCATGACAATCTGTCTCTCAATTTATATGTCAGTCATACTGAACTAATTCAAGTTCCTTGTTCCTTGATTGAAACATTCTTTTTGTACCTTTGGACATGCTGATTCTTCTACCTATTGTATTATTTTCTCCTGCTCCTCTTACTCAAGGCTTTTATCTAACTCCTATTTTTCTTTCAAAAGCCAGTTTAGAGTTTCCTTAGGAAGTCTAGGAAGTTTTTCCTGCCACAGGTTCTCTCATAGCCTTAATTATACTTATTTGTACATCTGACTTCTCCATTAGAGAGCAGATTCTTTAAAAGCAGCAACTATGTCTTGTTCATCTGTATATACTCAGTGCCTGACACTTAGAAGATACTAATAACTGTTTTAGTTAAACCAATTAATAATTCAGGTGTAAAATCCAACCTCCAAAATGGCCAATGATCCCTACCTCCTGTTATTCACACCCTCAGGTAACCCACTCCTCCACAGCACCAGGGTTGGCAGCATAAGTGGCCATGTTGTGATTAGATCTACAAAGAGGTCCATGTGGCCAGGAACCTCATGAAGCCTCCTGCCAACTGCCAGCAAGGCACTGGGGGTGTGTGAGTGAGTTTGGAAGTAGATTCTCCAGCCTCAGTCAAGTTGCCAGAGGTTGCAACCCTGGCTAGCAGCTTGACTGCACGTGTATTAAGCCATGAAAGACTCTGAGTGACAACAACCCAGCTAAGCTGCTCCCAGATTTCTGATCCTCAGAAACTGTGTGAGAAAATGAATGTTTGTTTTTATAGCTGCTACATTTTGGGGGTACTTTGTAACATGTTATTAGATAACCAATATACCCAGCAAAATGAATTATGTATATTGGTTATCTTATTTTAGTCCTAGAAGCACTGAGAGATTTTTCATTCATTCTTCACTTATTCAACTTTACCATTTCCAAGGCACCTCTGATAATCCCACACAGCAAGTTGCAGTAGCACAGAGAAGATCGTCCAGCAGGGAGCTCTTCCACAAACTCCACCAGAGGATTCTTGTCTAGAATCAGGGAAAATTCATTTCGGCTTGAATTGTTACAGGTCACACTTGGTGTAATTCCCAGATACATCTTGAAAGCAACCTGATAAGAAGAAAACAAAATTACTAAAACTTGGTCTAGAACAAATAACTATTAGCAGACTAAACAAATGCCCTGTTCTAGGCATGGCAGTACAATGGTTAAGCACACAGAGTCTATAGTCAGGAAGTCTGGCTTCACCCTTAGCTTTGCAATTTATTGATCCTATGCTGTGAAAGTTTTAAATATTTTTACTTGTGAATCACTTCCAAGATTCTTGAATAGGAACAGCTCCAGTCTACAGCTCCCAGCGAGATCAACAGAGAAGATGGGTGATTTCCAACTGAGGTACCTGGTTCATCTCACTGGGACTGGTTGGATAGTGGGTGCAGCCCATGGAGAGTGAGCCGAATCAGGGCAGGGCATCACCTCATGTGGGAAGCTCAAGGGGTCAGGGGATTTCCCTTTCCTAGCCAAGGGAAGCCATGAGTGACTATACTTGGAGGAACAGTACACTTTTGCCCAAATACTGCACTTTTCTCGCAGTCTTCACATCCGGCAAAACAGGAGATTCCCTCCCTCAGGAGATTCCCTCCAAAGCCTGTGCCTAGCTCGGCAGGTCCCATGCCCACGGAGCCTTGCTCGCTGCTAGCATAGCAGACTGAGATTGACCTGGGATGCTGAAACTTGGTGGGGGGAGGGGTGTCCGCCATTGCTGAGGCTTGAGTAGGCAGTTCTATGCTCACAGTGTAAACAAAGTGGCAGGGAAGCTCTAACTGGGTGGAACCCACCGTAGGTCAGCAAGGCCTACTACCTTCCTAGATTCCACCTCTGGGGGCAGGGCATATCTGAACAAAAGGCAGAAGACAACCTCTGCAGACTTAAACGTTCCTGCCTGACAGCTCTGAAGAGAGCAGTGGTTCTCCCAGCATGGTGTTCGAGCTCCGATAACAGAGAGACTGCCTCCTCAAGTGGGTCCCTGTCCCCCACGTAGCCTGACTGGGAGACACCTCCCAGTAGGAGCTGACAGACACCTCATACAGGCAGGTGCCCCTCTGGGACAAAGCTTCCAGAACAAAGATCAGACAACAATATCTCCTGTTCTGCAGCCTCTGCTGATGATACCCAGGCAAACAGAGTCTGGAGTGGACCTCCAGAAAACTCCAACAGACCTGCAGCTGAGGGGCCTGTCTGTTAGAAGGAAAACTAACAAACAGAAAGGAATAGCATCAACATCAACAAAAAGGACATCCACACCAAAACCCCATCCGTAGGTCACCAACAACAAAGACCAAAGATAGATAAAACCACAAACATGGGGAGAAACAGGAGCGGAAAAGCTGAAAATCCCAAAAACCAGAACACCTCTTCTCCTCCAAAGGACCACAACTCTTCACTAGCAGGGGAACAAAACTGGAAATGGAGAATGAGTCTGACAAGTTGACAGAAGTAGGCTTCAGAGGTCAGTAATAACAAACTTCTCTGAGCTAAAGGAGCATGTTCTAACCCATCGCAAGGAAGCTAAAAACCTTGAAAAAGATTTAGACAAATGGCTAATAGAATAACCAGTGTAGAGAAGCACTTTAATGAGCTGATGGAGCTGAAAACCATAGTACAAGAACTTCATGAAGCATACACAAGTTTCAGTAGCTGATTGGATCAAGCAGAAAAAATGGTATCAGTGACTGAAGATCAAATTAATGAAATAAAGTGAGAAGGCAAGATTAGAGAAAAAAAGAGTGAAAAGAAATGAACAAAGCCTCCAAGAAATATGGGACTATGTAAAAAGACCAAATCTACCATCAGTGTACCTGAAAGTGATGGGGAGAATGGAAGCAAGTTAGAAAACCCTCTTCCGGATATTATCCAGGAGAACTTCCCCAATCTAGCAAGGCAAGCCAACATCCAAATTCAAGAAATACAAAGAACACCACAAAGATACTCCTTGAGAAGAGCAACCCCAAGACACATAATTCTCAGATTCACCAAGGTTAAAATGAAGGAAAAAATGTTGAGGACAGCCAGAGAAAAATGTTGGGTTACCCACAAAAGGAAGCCCATCAGACTAACAAAGGATCTCTCTGCAGAAACTCTACACACCAGAAGAGACTGGGAGCCAATATTTAACATTCTTAAAGAAAAGGATTTTTGACATAGAATTTCATATCCAGCCAAATGAAGCTTCATAAGTGGAGGAGAAATAAAATCCTTTCCAGACAAGCAAATGCTGAGAGATTTTGTCACTACCAGGCCTGCCTTACAAGAGCTCCTGAAGGAAGCACTAGACATGGAAAGGACCAGTACCAGCCACTGCAAAAATATGCCAAATTGTAAAGACCATTGACACTATGAAGAAACTGCATCAACTACTGGGCAAAATAACCATCTAGCATCATAATGACAGGATCAAATTCACACATAACAATACTAACCTTAAATGTAAATGGGCTAAATGCCCCAATTAAAAGACACAGACTGGCAAATTGGATAGAGAGTCAAGACCCATCGGCTGGGTGTGATGGCTCACGCCTGTAGTCCCAGCACTTTGGGAGGCCGAGGCAGGCGAATCACGAGGTCAGGAGATCAAGACCATCCTGGCTAACATGGCAAAATTCCGTCTCTACTAAAAATACCAAAAAATTAGCTGGGCATGGTGGCGGGCACCTGTAGTCCCAGCTACTCGGGAGGCTGAGGCAGGAGAATGGCATGAACCCAGGAGGCGTAGCGTGCAGTGAGCCAAGATCACACCACTGCACTCCAGCCTGGCCGACAGAGCGAGAATTCGTCTCAAAAAAAAAAAAAAAAGAATCAAGACCCATCAGTGTGCTGTATTCAGGAGACCCATCTCATGTGCAAAGACACACAGAGGCTCAAAATAAAGGGATGGAGGGAGATTTACCAAGCAAATGGAAAGAAAAAAAAATAGCAGGGGTCACAATCCTGATATCTGATAAAACAGACTTTAAACCAACAAAGATCAAAGGAGACAAAGAAGGCCATTACATAATGGTAAAGGGATCAATTCAACAAGAAGAGCTAATGATCCTAAATATATATGCACCCAATACAGGAGCATCCAGATTCATAAAGCAAGTCCTTAGAGAC